TACAGCTCGGAGGCCCAAACCCTACAAGTAAGCCACTGTCTCAACCTAACATGGCAAAGGCTGAGGCCCACATCAACTCGAGTGGGTACCCACTTGGAGAGGTACCCCAGTCCCATATCCAGGCAACATCGTCCCAGAACAAGACCTCAACGATGAAGCTGACGTCACCGGGGACACTAAAACCTTCACACCACGGTCGAAGGACCACCTCTCCTGGGACAGCAATTAGACCTGGGACCTTCTGCTTTCTCCTTTTGATATTAGGAATTCTATTACATTCCTGAGCTTGCTGCTACTTTCTTAGCCCATGATCCTGGTGTATTTCTTGCCTTCTGTCAAAGGAAAATCTGACAGAGGTTGCTGCTGTGACATTTTAAAAATTAATGGAGATTACTGCTTTCCCGAGGAGGCACCTGCCTCATATCAATCAATCCCTTAAATTCCTGGAGAGAGGGGCACCCACTTTCCCAAGCCTTCTCCTACTATCACCCCAGCTCTCACCATGACCTCCTTCCCTTGGTTACACACCGTGATATAACAAGAAATATACACTTGGTCTTTGTCCCCATTCCTGGCACATAGCACCTAAAACCCTTCAAAATTCCTAAGCAACAGAAGCATCTTTTTGTGTGTGTGTGTGTGAGGAAGATCAGCCCTGAGCTAACATCCATGCCAATCCTCCCCTTTTTGCTGAGGAAGACTGGCCCTGGGCTAACATCTGTGCCCATCTTCCTCCACTTTACGTGGGAGGCCACTACAGCACGGCCTGACAAGTGGTGCGTCAGTGCGCACCCGGGCTTCCAAACCCGGGCATCCAAACCCGGGCTGCCAGCAGCGGAGCGTGGCACACTTAACTGCTACACCACGGCCCGCATCTTTTGTTATATTTGGTTTTTGTCCTCAGAAGAGACAAAGGTGAAAGGAGCATCTTTTGTTATTTCTAACAAGTTTCTTTCCACCACATCTGAGTTAATGTTAATGAGTTGACTTTTGGAAGGCCCCTAAGGAGGAGGGGCTGGTCACCAGGGGAACCAACTACCTGACTGGAGAGTTGGAACTTCAGCCTCACCCCCTGACCTCTGTGGACAGGAGAGGAGCTGGAGGTTGAGTTCAATCACCAATGGCCAGTGATTTCATCAATCACACCCACCTAAGGAAGCTTCCTTAAAAACCCTAACTCAAGTGGTTCAGAGATCTTCCAGGTTGGTGACCACATCAAGGTGCCGGGAGGGTGGCAAGCCTGGAGAAGGGACGGAAGCTCAGCGCCCCGGCCTGCAGACCCTGCCCTATGCATCTCTTCCATGTAGCTGTTTCTGATTTGTATCCTTTATATAAACAGATAACAAGTAAGGCACTTTGCTGAGCTCAGTGGGTCGCTCTAGCAAACTACTGAACCTGAGGAAGGGGTCATGGGAACCTCTGATTTATAGCTGGTTAGTCAGGACAGGTGACAACCTGGACTTGTGACTGGCATCTGAAATGGGTGGGTGGGAGGTGGAAGGGCTGTCTTGTGGGGTCTGTGCTAACTCCAGGTAGTGTCAGAACTGCTTGGTGTGGAAAACCCATACATTCGATGTCATGAGTAGAGAAAAAGAAGTTTTTTACTTTTACACATAAATACCACACGTGCACGTGTGTGTGTACATATATATACGTATATATAAAATTCATACTTTTAGCGCACTTTACAACGCCACTCAGATGTGTGACATCCTCAACAATTTCAGATTGATTTTCTTGGCTAACGCTATATAAACAGAAAACTTAGTTATGGGCCTGGCCTGCAGGGACTTTCTGTGTCTCTACTTGTTGTGTTCCTCCTTTCCACTCTCATAATGAAATATTTTCTATACTCTTTAGGGCAACTTATGCAGTACTTTCTAAAAATCTCCACTATCATCACTCTGAAGTTTCCTTAACATGATATCAAAACATCGAAGGACCAATTATTTAACCATTCCTTTAAAAAATTTGTTATTTTACAATGTGTTGACAGGCAGTGGGCCTTACCCCTCCCAGGGCTAGCTAATCCCTAGAATAACAATTTCTCTTGGAGCACACCTTTCACATGCAAACCAACAATCCAAAGCCACACTCCACCCACCTCATCTAACTCACATACCAAGCCAATATTTCCTGGCCCTAAATCAACCCAAATCCAGGTTCCAGACAACCAGGGACGGCCCCTAGTACCCCAAAGACTACCAGAGATATTCAAAGGAGTCAGTTCTAAGCTGTCCCCTGCCCTACCGTGCCTTTCCCACAGAAACCCCCATAAATGTTCTGGGTCATGCTTTCTTTCCCCTCAATCCTCGTTTTCCTCCTGGCCAACGCTGGTGCTTCCCTATGTGACCCTGGGAGACACAGTGTGTCCCTTCTCCCGAGAGAGCCGTAGTAAGTTGTTCTTTCCCTGGCATTACCCCTCCACATTGTCGGTTACTAAGTCACCTCCATAAAGTGAAATCCCACAGGTACAAACTGATATAGTGAGAATGCTGTGAGAATTACATGAGTGGAGCATGAACAATGTCTGAACACTCCTGACATGTGGTCAGTGCTCAAACAGCAGTAGTAACTACTTTTCTTAAAAGTGACCCACTTTTTATTTTTCTTAGATCTCTTCAAAAAAGGAATCTTGCGGGGGCCGGCCCCGGGGCATAGTGGTTAAGTGCGTGCGCTCCACTGCTGGTGGCCCGGGTTCGGATCCCCGGCGCGCACCAATGCACCGCTTGTCAGGCCATGCTGTGGCCACATCCCATATAAAGTGGAGGAAGATGGGCACAGATGTTAGCCCAGGGCCAGTCTTCCTCAGCAAAAAAAGGAGGACTGGCACGGATGTTAGCTCAGGGCTGATCTTCCTCCCACAAACAAAAAAAGAGAATCTTGTGTCACTCTGCTAAATGGGAAACTGAGTCCCCTGCATTGATGGCAGGTCACCCTGAAAATGCAGCCCTGCAATCAAAGTGAGGTTGTTAAGGCCCAGCAGGCTCGTGCTGCCTGCTCAGGGCTGTGAGCCTGAGGCAACTCTCTCTCTTGAAAAGGGGAAAGTAGCAATAGTTGGAGGGGGTAGGGGAGTGAAGAAGGGGTGTCCTGAACCCAGACTTTCCATCAACAACAACAGGAAGCAGAAAGAGAAGAAATAAAGGAATGGCTTCCTCAGTGTCTCTCTCAGTGCCAGCTGTTGAAGAGTCTCGGCACTCTCTGAAACAGGGTTTCTCAACCTGGCATGATTATTTAGGTCGAGATAATTCTTTGTCTGGAGGGCAGAAAGGAAGCTGTCTTGTGCATTATAAGGGTGTTTAGTGGCATCCCAGGTCTCACACCAGATGTCAGTAGCATCCACATCACAGGTGTAACAAGCAAAAATATCTCCAGACATTGCTGAATTTCTTCTGGGCAGCAACATCACTCCTGAGAAGCACTGGACGAGAAGGTTTTAAACAGGAATGTGAAAGAAAGTGAGCAGGATGGGGAGACCCTCCATGAGATTTGGCGGTCAGGACACAGCCGAGTGAGGTGGTGACTATGCTGAGCAGGGATGGCTGTATGAAAGGCTGAAGTGCCAAAGAAACTCACCAGGCAGACAGAACAGCAAGCGCACGTGCAAACGTGCTGGGGAAACAGCAGGAAGACAAGCACGGCGGGAGAAGAGAGAGCTCGGGGAGAGCAAGTGAAGAGGAGTGAAGAGCCATCAGGACCAGATGCTGAACTTTTTATTTTAAGAAGTTTCCTTACAAAATTTAACCTATCAAACTTTTCTAATTCTGCTTTCTCTATTTTCACTGACACACAACATAACTCCAGCTCTCTAAAATAGGTATGTCTTACTCTGACCCCTGGACATACAGCCCTCCTTTTCCTCAAATTGAGTGGTCTATAGTGATTATCCTCAAGCTGAAAAACATCTAGGCTGGTGTTTCTCAACAATGGCACTCTGACATTGTGGGCTAGAAAATTCTTTGTTGAAGCGAGCTGTCTTGTCCACTGTAGGATGTTTAGCATCATCTCTGGACTCTACCAACCAGATGCCCGTACTGCCCCCACCCAGGAGTGACAATCAAAAGCGGCTGCAGACATTACCAAATGTCTCCCGGGGGGTGAAACCACCGAGTATTGAGAAGCACTTCTCTAATTTTTCTCTTGTACTAGCAGAGGATCTCGCTCCTGGACTTAGGAAACCAGATATGATCGTGAAGGCACAAGAGAATAAAGAAGCCCCATAACCCATAACCGAGATCACACTCGGTTATGTGCCAACAATACCTGCTGGCACTGAAGGCAAAGGCCTCCTGGGGCCTGCCTGACTCACCCTCTTCCTGGAGAACATCCCAGCACTCACGGCCCTGTGAACTGGGCTGTAGGGGACACCTGAGCCAACCAGGCTCAGTCAGGTCCCTCTCTGGAATGTGAAATAAGAACCTCAGACAGAGGCCAGTCTGTGCTGGGCACTGGGGAGAGAGGTTCAGGGAAGTATGGGCTCGGGTGGCCATTCCTGCCTCAGGGACACCCCAGAGAGCCCAGCAGCAGAGAAGGAAAGAGAAACAATATAAACATGCAAGGAAGTAGAGACAAGGAACCTGGGGGCCACAGAGGGCCGGGACTGAGGTGGCCAGTCCTGTCACAAACTCGCTGAGGAGAAAAAGCCATTCTGAAATGACAGCGACATGAGCAGACCCAGAGAGAGAAGCCAGGACAAGAAACTCAGAAGCCAGGGCATAATCATGGTGGTTCCCAGTTCTCATGTCAGTCACTCAAAGGGCCCAACCGGAAATCCTGCCTTTCGGTTCCTTACATCACTTTCTAGGAGCCAAAGGGGAACTGTTTCTTGCCCAAAGAGACACAGGGAGACCAGGCAGGAAGAGGTGAGTCTAGAAAATGACTGAAGCTGTGGGAGGAGGGAGAGAGGGCTCCTGAGGTCTTCTTGACCAGCTGAGACGGAGCCAGAGGTTGGAATGAAGGAAGTGGCAAGTCCCCCCAGTGGTGGAGTGGGGGTGCCTTACCCAGAGACACCAGGAGCCCACAGTTTTCTAGCATCACCTCCTGGTACAGGGTCCTCTGGGCCAGGTCTAGCTGCCCCCATTCCTCCTGGGTGAAAATCACGGCCACATCATCGAAGGTCACAGACACCTGGAAAGTCAAATAGAGGCAGCAGCATTAGCCTTAGGGGTGTTGGACAGGATCAGAGCTCCTCTCTACATTACTGGTAAAGGTGCAGAGAGATCAAGGTCCTAATCACTGAGTACCTCCTGAGAGCTGAACTCTGTGCTGGGCTCAAGGGGGAGGTGGTCAATGCTTTGGACATAACACAATAGTATAAGACAGAGAAGCTTCCCATGCAGAAGGCATCGGAAAATGACAGAAAACAATGGAAATGACATGTAGACTGTGACACGCAGATTGTAAGTGCTCTGGGACAACAGAAGAATAAGAAAATAATGATAATATTATCAATGATTGTAAATGAAGCAATACCCCAGCCTCACTGGTCCTGCTAGACGCCTGCCTCTCGCCGAGGGCTTCACATTCCGGTTAAAGCAACTAACAGTCCTCAGTCCTTAACTCAACCTCCTGTAGCTGGCATCCAAAATCTGGAAACCCCGACACTTGTCAGCTCTGCTACCTTGGAGACATCACTTCATTTCTCTGAGTCTGGATTTCTGGATCAATACAATAACAGCTCCCACTTCACCAGTAACAGTTGTGAAATTTAGACAAATACCTGGAGTGCTTTCAGGTTTTCGTTAATTCTCCCACAGCCCCTGAGGTCAACATCTCATCACCTCCATGCCAAGTCCTGAGACTACTGGACCTCCACCCCTTCACGGTGTCTCCAGTCTCACAAACCAGGAGCAATATATTAACACAGATTACTCTAGCACAGGGTCTAACAGAGTAAGCCAACACTCCTCCATTATCAACGTGAATACATAGTAATGAGGTTGTGAAGCATTTACACCAACTCTCGCTGTTCAATCCATTACTGTCACCCCTGAAAATACTTCTGTGAACAGGGACAGAAACGCAGAGCCCTCACCACTGAACTCACAGGAGAGGCACCTGAAAGGGTGGCACCTACCCGGGTAATGGCAGGGCCTGGACCAGCTCCCCACACCCCCTGGTCCCCTTGGTCTCCCAGACTCCCAGGGAGATTCCCCAGTGAACCATTAGCCTTTTTTTCCTTCCTGAGTTCTGACAGCACTTATCTCTGAGACCAGGATACTTCAGGACCAGAAAGCACAAATGACCAAAGACAACACAAGCTTTGGCCATGAGAATAAGAGCCTCGACAGACCACAACCTCTGTCCTGGCTGAGGGCGGGTGGAACATCCTACAAAGGCCACACAATCTCGCCTTCCCAAGACGTGTCTCAACAGCTGGGGAGAACCACCGCAACCTCACAGGCCCTTTTGGGCCTCCTTAAATCACCAATACACCGTGCCTTTGTCCATACACTGCTCTCTGCCTGGAAAGCCCTGTCTCCCCTTCCCCCAATACCCACGGGCACCTGTTGGAAGAACAGGTGGGCCAGCGTAGATCCTTGCAGAACATGGTGGGAGTTGGGATTTACTCCAAGTATGATAGGAGCCCCTGGAGGAAGCATCATTCAGTCGTTCCACAACCTAGGAAGCATCTGTCAGAGCCCAACACCGTTCAGGACTGGGGATCAATTCTGCGGTAAACCAGCTCTGCGTGCCGAAACACGACAACTGCGAAGATAAACCCGGTGGACGGCTTGGCTCCCGGCCCCTTCAGGAACCGTCCCCGCCCTCGCAGAAAAGAATTCCGAAGTCGCCGTCCACTTACCTGTGTCTGAGCGGAGGACGCCGCCGCCATCGTGGGACCCCGAGAGTCGAGCGACGCTGGGGGAGCGAACACCGGGTGACCTGCTGACCCCCACAGCCTCGCCCGGGGACTTCGGCGGACTGTCGCACTCCGCGCCGCCGAGTCCTTCTAGAAAAGGCGACCGAGACCCAGGGCGCCGCCCTTGGCGACGGCGGGGAGGGAGCGCGGCTGCAGCGGGCCCGAGAGGCTGCGGCCCGGCGAGCGAGCAGGGGACACGCCCGGTATACGGAGTCGCGGCCCGAACAAAGACGCGACGGTGATTCCTATCCTCCTGCCCAGCTCGGTCGTGACGAAAGGCTCGAGAACCCGAGCTAAACCGGCCCTCATCAACCCAAGCCCGCCCGCGACCGAACCAGAGAGGCAAATGGCGTCCTCCCTGGGAAACCCGGAAGTCCCGCCCACGTACGTGGGCCGCGGGAAACGCCCCTGTCCCAGGCCGTAATTGGCTAGCACCCCCCTCAGGCGCACAATGCACAGCCTTCTGGGTAGTGTAGTTTCCTCACTATACCCACTATCTTCTTATACCCACTATCTTCTTATAGCCACTATACTCACTATCTTCCTCCGCGCAGGCGGCGCGCTGGGAACCGAGAGCCGCCCGGCCCCGCCCCCTTACGGAGGGCGCAACTCAGAAGGAACAAGGGGTGGGGGAACGCGTGCTTTCTGTGCCTGGGAAATTGAGGCTCGGAATGCAGGGTCGTTCGCCCAGGGTCAGGGCCAGTGCAAAGGGCGGAACCGGGCCCTCGGCTCGCGGCTCACCTGGTGACTTCGCCTTCCGGTCACCTCCTACTCTACTGGGGGATAGACAAAAAGTAGCTTAAAAGTCTTCCCGAGTAGGATGCCGGAAGACCGCTTGGTGCGTAGCGCCTCACTGACCGCGCTCTCCTGGGCCTTCTTTGACCCGGAGCCTCCTTCATATGATGCGTGAACTTCTGAGTCACGTAGTTGGCCCAGATCCCCCGAAGAATGGATTTGCTGTCCCTTGAGGTGGGGAGGCCACAAGTGGAGGAAGCTTGGGGGAAAACTCAAAACTCCAGTTTCGAGCATGGCCACTTTGAAATGTCTGTGAGATCACAAAGCGTGTGTGACGTAGGCGTTTCAACCTATTACTGAACACTGGGAGAGAGTTCCAGCCTGTATATATAAATTTGGGAGTTAGCGTATATTGTTATTTCAAGTCATGATGCTAGGTGAGATCACAAGGGAAGGAGTGTAATCTGGAGAAGAGAATGGACGGAGCATGAACCCTGGACCAACCCGACTTCATTGGGTTGTTGATGACAAGAAACCAACACAATCACGTTAGGGGTTCTAACGACCACCCAGAGGTGTATTAACCAGGCTTAGAAGTCACCATTGGTAACTTTTTTTCATAACTGTGGAGCTGAGAGAAGAAAATGGCGCCTGTCATGATTTGAGGACGCATGTGGGATTGAGAAATGAAATCGGAGTGCAGAAAGTGCCCTTAAGAGATTTAATTTTTTTAAGATGAGAGAGAAGTATAGTGACAGGACGTTAATTAGGTCAAGGAATGAGAAGTGTATCAGTCAGAGCTCTGCAGATAACCTGTAGGATATTCACATTTTATTTGTGTGTATGTACATATATGTATGTGCATATATATGTGTGCGTAATATGTATGTGAGAGAGTTATTTGAAGGAATTGGCTTATGCAATTGTGGGGCCTGGCAAGTCCAAACTCCATAGGTAGAGGGCAGGCTGGAAACTCTGGAGCCAGAGCTAATGCTGCAGTCTTGAGGCTGAATTTCTTCCTCAGGAAACCCTCACTTTTCCTCTTAAGGCCTTTCAACTGACTGGGTAAGTCCCACTCATATTAACAAAATAAAATCCTTTGCTTAAAGTCAACTGATTGGGGCCGGCCCCGTGGTGCAAGCGGTTAAATGCGCGCGATCCGCTGTGGCAGCCCGGGGTTCGCTGGTTTGGACCCTGGGTGCGCACCAACGCACTGCTTGGCAAGCCATGCTGTGGCGGCGTCCCATATAAAGTAGAGGAAGATGGGCACAGATGTTAGCCCAGGGCCAGTCTTCCTCAGCAAAAAAAGAGGAGGGTTGGCAGATGTTAGCACAGGGCTGATCTCCTCACAAAAAAAAAAAAAAAGTCAACTGATTGTAGATGTTAAGCACATCTGCAAAATACCTCCACAGCAACACCTGGATTAGTGTTTGATCCAATAACTGGGTAGTATAGCCTGGCCAAGTTTACACATAAAACTAGCCATTATTTCCACCCCTTGTCAACTTGGCACCCAAACACAGCTCCTTAAACCATACTTAATCTCCAAATAAAGACAGTAAAAAGATAAACTTCTGCCTAATCAGACCAAATCTGGTATTGATCCATTGTTATGATAGATCATATTACGTATGATGGATTACATACGATGAACATCATATGATCCATATAGGTCTATTGATCTAACGTTAAATTCTCTGATAGTGGAAACTGTCCACTGGTTGTGTTAGATAATGACTGTTCTCAGAAAATACAAACAAATATTTAGGAAGAAAGACATGAAGTATGAAGCTCTCAATGGTTCAGAGAAATATAAATTGATGGATAATGGGAGGCAGAGAAAGAATGAGAATGATAGGGGCCAGCCCGGTGGTATAGTGGTTAAGTTCGCACACTCTGCTTTAGCAGCCCAGGGTTCACCGGCCTGGATCCCGGGCGCGCACCGACGCACTGCTTGTCAAGCCATGCTGTGGCGGTGTCCCATATAAAGTAGAGGAAAATGGGCACTGATGTTAGCCCAGGGCCAGTCTTCCTCAGCAAAAAGAAGAGGATTGGCGATAGACGTTAGCTCAGGGCTAGTCTTCATCACAAAAAAAAAAAAAAGAGGAGGGTTGGCAACAGATGTTAGCTCAGAGCCAATCTTCCTCACCAAAAAAAGGAGAATGATAAAGCAAATGTGACACAATGTTAATTGATAAATATGTGTGACAAATATATAGAGTTTGTGCTATTTTTGAAAATTTTCTATAATTTTGAAATTACTTACAAATGAAAAGTTATATGTATAGAGAGAGAGAAAGAAAGAGACAGAAGAAAAGAGGTTTTCTCCACCTCGTTCTGATCTGAGCCACAAAATCTCTCTTCTGAATTCCTACAACAGCTTCCTAAGTGTGCTCTCTGCTTCCATCCTCACCCCACTCAAGTCTCTTCTTGCAGTAACCTGAGTGAGCGTCTGTGTAGCAGAGAAACTCTAGGATGACCACTGTGGGCCTCATAATCCTCCCACCTCCCTCTTGGTGTTCTAGCCCTTGTATGACCTCTCTCCTTGATTGTGGGCCAGACCTGTAACTTACTCCTAGACATAAAGAATATGCGAAAGGTGATGAAATGTATGTGATTTTGTGTACATGATTATGTTACATAAGATGGTAAGGCCCATCTTGCTGGATCCTCTCTCTCCCAAGCAGCCATGTGGGTAGGCGCATATAATAAGAAACTGCAGGCAGTTTCTAGGAGCTGAGGGTGACCTTCACAGACACACAGCAAGAAACTGAGAATAAGAAAATAAATTCTAGCAATAACCTGAATGAGTTTCAGAGTGTACTGTTTCTCAGTTGAGTCTCTGTGGGGACAACTTGAGCACAGCTTTGTAAGACCTTGAAGCAGACAGCTCAGTTAAGCTACGACCAAACTCCTGACCCACTGAAAATGTGAAATATCGGTGTGTATTGTTTTAAGCCATTACATTTATGATAATTTTTACACAGCAATAGAAAAGTAATACACAACTTAAGTTTGGAGTATGTCTTCCTCTACACAAAACCCTAAATGCAGTGGCCCCATCCTCTCAGAGTCAAAGCCAAAGTCCTCACAGCCTGTTACACTTTCTGCTTTACTCCACATTAGCTTACTGGTGCATGCACTGACTGGATATGCACTTTTTTGTGTGTGTGTGAGGAAGATCAGCCCTGAGCTAACATCCGATGCCAATCCTCGTTTTTTTTTGCTGAGGAAGACTGGCCCTGGGCTAACATCCATGCCCATCTTCTTCCACTTTATATGGGACGCCGCCACAGCATGGCTTGACAAGCAGTGCATCGGTGTGCACCTGGGATCCGAACCTGCGAACCCCGGGCCGCCAAAGTGGAGAGTGTGCATTTAACCGCTTGCACCACCGGGCCAGCCCCTGGATACACACTTCTTTTAAAACCTATGCCAGACCAATCCCCCTTCTCTCCCATCTCCACATGGCTCACTCCTGTACCCCCTTATTATTATTTTTTGTGTGTGAGGAAGATCAGCCCTGAGCTAACATCCATGCAATCCTCCTCTTTTTGCTGAGGAAGACCGGCTCTGAGCTAACATCTATTGCGAAGCTCCTCCTCCCCCCCACAAAGCCCCAGTAGATAGTTGTATGTCATAGTTGCACATCCTTCTAGTTGCTGTATGTGGGACACGGCCTCAGCATGGCAGGAGAAGCGGTGCGTTGGTGCGCGCCCGGGATCCGAACCCGGGCCACCAGGAGCAGAGAGCGCGCACTTAACTGCTAAGCCACGGGCCCGGCCTCTGTGCCCTCTTATTGACTTTGGTTGTATGTCACTTTCTCCATTAGCTCTTCCCTAATCCCCCTAAAAAAAATTACAGACCAGCACCCCCAACTCTGGCACCCACATCCACCTTACCCTCCTCTTCTCATTTTCTTTGTCATAACACTGATTAACTTCTGATATACATTTTACCTGTTTATTATAACTATTGTTCGTTTCCTGTCTCCCCCTCTAGATGTTGCTCATGAGGGAAAGGATCTTTGTTTTGTTCACTGCTGAATCCCAAAATTTTAAAACAATGTCTAGCACAAAGAAGACACATTATAGACATTTCAGTAAGATATAATGGAAGCTTAGCTCACAATCTTGAAAATTTATGTGTATTTTTTAAAGCAATGCAATTGATTTTTCAAATTAAAAAAAAATTTTCATAGGAAATGAGTGCATATGGCACAAAAACAAAATGATATAAGATAAGCAGTGAAAAGCTTTATTCCTATCTAGTCCCTGACTTGCAAGTAACCA